CCCAAGCTACCAACAAAGCAACCATATAAAAGTAAGCATATATATTTGTATATAACAAAAGGCAAAGATTTCTGCCACTGGTTTCTTTATAGAGTGATTTTAATTTAATGAAAATTATTTTGTTGTATTTATAGTACATGACTATGAGAAGCTGAGCTTATAGGTAATAAACTGAGAATCAAAACTGTACAGCTGTGATTCACAGTCCGGGTTACCACACCATTAAACCCCTCTGTAAAAGGTGATCCTGACTTATCCTGTTTCTCTGACAGTTTTTGCTCCACGCAGTCAATAAAATGACAATTACTTAATTATGATAGTTTCAAACAAAACAAATTTACACTATGTGTGTGCACATGTGTATACACATATATATGTATATACAAGCTTTTGATGCAATCATACGATTTGTCGTTTTTGTTCATGCACCAAAATGCACTTTCAACAAATAGTCTGTCAGTGCTGAAGAGATGCCTCCACATATCAACAGACATTAGGTAAAATACCCGGGGCAACTTCAGTGTTGCAGAGATCGGAGGAGCAACACTTGCTGGCAATCACAGTCTTTCCGACTCCAAAGTTGATTGACCCGTTGACACACTGTTCGGCAGGAACACAGCCTTTAGCGGTAAAATCAGCGAGTTTCACAGCACCTGCAAAAAGACAGCGGCAGTTGTAAACTGAGCCAGTGTCAAGAAATAGCAAAAATAGTTAAATGCCAACTACTATACCTGCATAGGACAGGACTCTGGTTGTGCCACACTGAAGACTCTGTGAAGGACATTCTGTAGTGTCGGGGCAGGGTCCAGAGTTTTCCACGAAGCACTGATGACAATTCAGGGTGAAGGCTGATGAAACACAAAATAAGCTAAATCAACTTTACTTGTCTAGAAAACAAACAAAAGAGTTTTAACACATTTGCTCTGAAGTAAATGAATCAGAATTTTAAACGTAGCTGCAAAAATGAGCTACGAATCAAATACCAACTACAATTATGACATGTTTCCTTGAGCCTGCAGCTTGTGCAC